TTTCATTGTATTTTCTTCTTTTAAATAGTCAATAAAAGTCTGCAATTCTTCTTCAAATTTAGAAGAATCTGGTGATTTTATAAGCCTAGAGTAAGTGACCTATTTTGAAGAGGACCTCCCCGGACTCACGGATATGAGAGGATTACCTCACTATCACTAATATCTTTTATTTGGTCCAAGTCTTGGACATGTGTTGAGTGGGTAGCTTCAGATTTTCTTGGAAGAAATTGATTATTTGGAACCATTCTAATTTGGTTTCAGGCCAGTATACAGTACAAAACAGTCTTGGTTTCTCTGACTAAGAACTTACTCAAGGGGAGTGTTACTCTATTAATAAGGGGAGTGTTAGTCTATTAATAATCTTGGATCTTTCAGTAGCTTTTCATACTATTGATAATAATATTTTACTGTTCTGGTGGGTGGAAGTAGGAGGCAGTGTGTTACAATGCTTCCATTTGCAAGGGCAATTCTAGAGAGTGACATTAAAGGGCTCCTGTTCCGCCTCATAGCCATTGTGCAGTGAGATGCCACAGGGTTTCCATCTTGTTTCCCACACTGTTTAATATCCATATGAGACTGCTGGAGGAGGTCATGAGAATTTTTGATGATGAGTGCCATCAGTAGGCTGAGGACTTTCAACTCTACTTCTCCATGCTATCCAAGTCAGGTGGAACTGTAAAGGTGTTGGACCAATGCCTAAATGGTGTAACAAGCTGGGTGACATCCAATAAATTGAAGCTGAATCGCAATAAGATGGGAGCTCTGTGGATGGATGGCTCTCAAGTCAAGACACTAGATGGGTTACTTGGTTTTGGATGCCATTGTGTTCCCCTGAAAGGAACATATAACGCATAATTTCCCCAAAAATGTACAGATTTTCTGAGGTGACAGTCAGAAATCTGTTGGTATCAAACATCTGTGTAACTTTCCTTGTATTGTGTGGTTGTATTTTTTGGCTATTGCACAAAAGATGTATTAAGCCCATGGTTTCATAAGCAAGGTTCCACAAATTTAACCATTTCACATGATCCTAACTTTTATACTGAGTGAAGTAGGACCACTGAAACTGCTGAATTTAATTACAAGTTGATTCACCATTCACCAATTGATTGTGTGACCCTAACTCTAGCTGTAACTAATTGATAGGATTCCAGCTATGCAGTTGTACATTTTTGGATAGCATCTATTTATCAGTACCTTCAATGTACCCCTTGATTCACTGGGATTGTAGAAGGAACCACTGTGCACAATGGGGGGAAATAAGCAGACATACAGGAAGGTGCATGGTTACACAAGGTTGACATTCTGTAGAAGTGTATGGTTATGTAACCCAACCACAAATTACATGGGTGCAGCTTGACATTACACATTGACAATGTAAAATCTTGATTTCTAACTCTCAGACTCCCTCGAATCCTCACCTCTATCACTTTTTTGGTCCATCTCTGTGCCTCTCCCCTGTTTCATCTAAAACCTTCATTCTCAATCCTCCTCAATGGGAGGAAACATTTGGTAAATCCTCATTTGCTGGTATAATTGTTGCTGATGGCATTTGGCTTTGGTGTAATGCTCTTTTCAGTGCTGTCTTGTTGTTCGGTTTTGATCTATGGTTGTTAGCCATCGTAAGGCAGGTTTCATCTTATCAATCAGTCAGTCAGGATATGATTCAGACCAATAATTAAATTACATTTGAGCTGTCTCAGAATTCACATCCAGTTTTATTGGAGAGTGTCCTCAAGTACAAAAGAGTCCTACAGAGGTCTGTATAGCTAGAAAGGTCACTCCACAGCATGAAAATATCACTCTATGATCCATCTCTTAGCAGAGCTTGATTTCACTCTTAATGATCCTCATTCTGTCATATGTGTTGTTCTGTTGACACACTGTTTTTTGTACTACAGTAATATCCAGAGGAAACGGTGGATGCAACAGGATCGAAACAATCAATAGTCATCTTCATCATGACCGTCATTTATCAGCTCCATCCTCATGATCATCTTCATCCCCATGGTCATCCTAGTCATCCGTTCCTCACATGCACATTGAATAAGGTAGTATTGTTCCAACCCTTCACATTCCATGGGGTTTCTGTCCATGTTTTTCATCAGGTTGAGATGTATTCATGTTGTTGGGTAATCACTGTCCATTTCCCAATAATTAAGCAAAATAATGGAATTATTGTAATTTGGATTTTATTAAGCATTAGAGAAAAGAGCATATGCTATTTTTTGCTGTTACTGTGTGCCTTCAAGAGAGGTGGCACAGCATACATGTTTTACTGTTGGACAGTGAGTTTGGAAATCAGGGTTCAAATCTCTACTCGGCCATGAACATCATATCAGTGATCCTAGGCTAGTCGCATGCTCTCAGCCCCAGAAAATCCTGTAAAAATATTTTAGGATCATCATCTATCAGAAATGACTTGAGGGCACATAACAAAAACAAATGGGCCTTCAACTTATTGCCAACTTTTGGTGACCCAAGGTGAACCTATTACAGTATGTATATGTAAGATTTGTTCATAGAAGGTTTACCACTGCCAACTTCTTTGGTTGAGAGTGTATTTTTCCATGGCTGGGTTGGGACTAAAACTCTGGTTCCACAGAGTCCTAATCCAAATCTCAAACCACTACACTATTAACTCGCTTCTGTTACTGTAAGGTCCACAGTTTAATTTATAAGTAGGCCATCAGGGTTATTGTATATAAACCAGAAGGCTTTTGAAATAAGGACCATATGAAATCAGGCTAAGAATTGCAGGTGGACCACCTATTAATAAATATGGAAAGGAACTGTGAGGAAAATGTGCCCCATGGGCCACTGCTGGTCCACAGCTCTGTGTTGTGATGCCCTCTATTTTGTGAAGCTTCCCGAGACTTCAAACATTTTAAATGTTTAAAATGTTTGCATTTTAAAATGCAAACATTCCCCTGGAAGGCCAAAATCACCACAAAAATGAAGTCTTTTAGGTCAATTTATCTTCTTCTCATCATAAGGAACCCAAAAATGATCAATTATGAGGTGAACTCCAAAACAAATGTGAAAATGTCACAAAATCCTAATTAAAACTTCCACATTATACTAAAGGAAAATGCCCCCATTCCATCTGATGTAGTAGTCAAAGCACAACATGGCTACCATGAATGATAGCATTTGTGTATCATCCCAAGGTAGCATTCAGTGCCCTGAGAATGCCTATACCTCAAAGAAGAAAGCTAGACCGGGTTGTGGCTCGGTGGTTGGGGGTCAGCTGCATTAAAATCACTACTGACCAAAAGGTCATGAGTTCGAAGCCAGCCCAGGTTGGAGTAAGCTCCTGACCATTTGTCTAGCTTGCTGTTGACCTTTGTAACCCGAAAGACAGTTGCATCTGCCAAGTAGGAAATTTAGGTACTGCTTATGTGGGAAGGCTAATTTATCTAATTTACAATGCTATAAAACTCTCCAGCAGCATTCAAAAGAATGAGGAAGTACTCAATTGGTGTCACAAATGGATGGTGAAGCAACAGCACCCCCGGTGGTTGGAATTCAAAAAGCATACCCTTGCAAACTGAAAAGTTAAATAGCCTTTTTGTGTCTGTCTATATATGTTGTATGTCTATGGCATTGAATATTTGCCATGTATATGTGCATTGAGATCCGCTCTGAGTCCCCTTCAGGGTGAGAAGGGCGGAATATAAATACTGTAAATAAATAAATAAATAGATGAAATTGTAAGCCTGATCTGTCCAAGGAATTGCAACCCCATTCCAAATATAATGATCCCACTACTCTCCTGGATGTTGATTTATCTTTAACTGGCCTATATAATAGATCAAGGAAAAACAATTGCATTTTGTTGAAGTAATAAGTTCTGCCACCCAAAATGTTTTGGTTGTCTTCTCTGAATAATGATTGTAACCTCAGTGGACATGGGAGACACCTGATGTTTCTTAGTAGTAGTTACATTTCAGGACCATAGACAGCTCTGAGCAGACATATTGTTCTTGACAGAGCTTAGAACAGTGATTCTCAGCCTGGGATCCCCAGATGTTTTTGGCCTACAACTCCCAGAAATCCCAGCCACTTTGCCAGCTGTTAGGATTTATGGGAGTTGAAGGCCAAAAACATCTGGGGACCCCAGGTTGAGAACCATTTGCTTAGAATATCAAATACCTCTCTTTGGCCAGATTACTCCTGTCAGGTTTTGGCAACTTCCAGAAGTGACTCCTAAAAGAGTCCTAGGTTGAAATTTCAGCCTGGAAATGCCCTTCTTGAAAACCCCATTTTAAAAAACTCTGGCTCAAGGGGACAGGGTTGGTGTTCAGTTTTGGATTTGTCATAGCCCTTCTATATAATGATCTTTTCTCATTTGGTTGGCCAGCCATCCTTGATTCAGAAAGGGGCATGCTTTTTAGAATGGCAGTTTAGAATGGCAATTATCTCACAACTTGAAAAAGTTACCACTTCAGAGTACAGAATACCTCTAACCACCAAGGTATGCTGGGTGTTCTTTTATCCAAAAGGAAAAACTCTGATACTTCTTGATAAGCAGGTGAGTTAGGTAAAGCTGAAAACCCCCCAAGATCATGCCATGAGTGTAACAGTGTATTCACACTATACAGTTATAACAATTTGACACCATGTTAACTGCCATGGCTCCCTTCCATGAAATTTTAAGATCTGTACTTTGGTGAGTTATTTAGAATTCCTTCTTAGAGACAGGCACTGCCCCCTTCCTCAAGTCCAATGTAAGAGCTGCATAGCAGAGATTTCTCAACTCCAAACTTCAAATCCTAGGATTCTTGGCATGAAGCCATGAAAGCCCCACAAGTGTGAAGTGTACATAGTGTAAAAAAGGGAATTAAATATGTTCTTAGCATATACCTTGCTTGGTTGCCATGTTCTCACACTGAGACATCTTTTGCTATTCCTTAAGACATCTGCCAATAACTCCTTTGGATGATTATTAGTAGCCGCATCTTCACTGTGAATATTCTCTTTTTATTTTATCTCCCCAGTGATGGCTGGGCAGACAGGTACGACGTGACAGACGGCTACCAGCGTGAAGCTGCTGGTGGAATTACAATCAAGCTCCAGTCTCCTGATGTCAAATGGTTTGATGATTATTACCTGCAGCTTCAACCAGATACCAATCACCGAAACCCATGGTTTCAGGAATTTTGGCAACATCGATTCCAGTGCCGACTACCAGGGTCCCCACAGGAGAATCCAAAATTCAATAGGACTTGCAGCAGTAAGCATCTTTATGTTCATATGCTTAAAATCAATTGTGTCCAGGCAGTTAATTGCTTGTGGGGCTATGGGGATTGGAGAATCAAATGGCAAGCTGTGGATACCATGGTTTAAAAAATGAGGATGATAACGGATAAATTGAGAAGACCACCGGGGGGGGGGGGGGGCATGCAGGTTGAACATAATTTATATTTTATTATACTATTGTTTCTTTTTGACATCTTTGCTTTTGGGGAAGAAGAGATTAAGGTGATTGTGATTTATTATATTTTATTTGTTTTATATCGCACCCTCTTTCCCTCATTGAGGGAATCAGAGTGGCTAACATATGGCACAATTTGATGCCATTCAACAGTCTACCTAACATTCAAACACATAAAATCAATACATATAAAATATATAATACCCCACCCTGAGTCCTCTCGGGGAGATAGGGAAGTATACAAATATATTATTATTATTATTATTATTATTATTATTATTATTATTATTATTATTGGAGTGGATTATGCTGCTGAGCTGCTGAACTTGCTGACTGAAAGGTCACAGGTTTGAATCTGGGGGATGGCATGAACACCCGCTGTTAGCCCCAGCTTCTGCTAACCTAGCAGTATGAAAAAAACATGCAAATGTGAGTAGATCAATAGGTACCGCTCTGGCAGGAAGGTAACAGTGCTCCATGCAGTCGTGCCAGCCACATGAGCTTGGAAGTGTCTATGGACAATGCGGCTCTTTGGCTTAGAAATGGTGATGAGCACCAACCCCCAGTGTCAGACACAACTGGACTTAATGTCAGGGAAAAACCTTTATCTTTACTACTATTGTCGTTATCATTACTATTCTAACAACAATGCTACATGGTAAAACATTATAAAGCTAACTATAATTAAAATTCAAAATTGCTTCCATCTCATTGCTAGAGTTACGGATTTTTAACTTCTTCATATGTAGTAAAAATATGTAGTCTTAGTGCCCAAGTCCATCTTAGCAGCCAGCAGCAATATTGGGTGAAAGAGGTCTGTTCAGATGCTGACTACCATGCAAAGATTTTTTTTCTGCTTCCCTCCTATCCGTGAGTGGTGTTGCACCAATCAGAAGCAGGACCCTTGCTGCTCAAAGGGGGCTGGAAAAGTCATTATCCTTGTGCCTCAATCAACAATTGATCAGACTTCTTCCATCCAATATAACTGTTGGTTCTTAAGGTAAACTTGGTGGGTTACTTAGTTATATGCATATGTATGAGTAAACCTTATGACTTCGTCAAGTGCAGGTTTGGGACTTAGTGGTAGATTTTCATATGACCCGTAAGTAAGTGGAAAGTCATTCTGCAAAGAGGGGAAAATGCCAGCACCACCTCCAGGGGCCAACCACTCCTGGCTGTACCATCACTACTATTTTTCTGCCTAGGCATTCAAAAAGGCCAGAGGTGGTTGTGTGGTAGAAAAAGTATTGGGGGTTGGTGCTTCTTTTATTTTTTTCCCAGGATGGGTTAAGCTCTTGCCTTTTGTCAGAGAAGGGGGTGATTCCATTTTCGATAAGAGTTGGGGTACAATAGCGATGGATGAGTCAATCCACATTTTGGGGGCTAATTTTATTGGTTAATTGAGATAAATTACCTTCCTTATCTCAATCTCCTTCAACCTTTCAAGCATATGCCTGAAGACACGAATAACTTCAGACCCCTTAATTCAGCTTTCAGCCAAAAGCGGCACTTATCGTTATTGGTAAATACACACTATATATATAAGAGAACTTTCAGTCATGTCAGTTTACATCTCAACATGCAAGAAGCATATTCCAATCCTATCAGTTCTTCATTTCCACCCTACACAGGAACCTTAGAAAGTTACACTCTAGCATTACTTCACAACTCTTATGTATTAACTGGAGGGCGACTAAAATGATCAGAGGTCTGGAGAACAAGCCCTATGAGGAGCGGCTTAAGGAGCTGGGCATGTTTAGCCTGAAGAAGAGAAGGCTGAGAGGAGATATGATAGCCATGTATAAATATGTGAGAGGAAGCCACAGGGAGGAGTGAGCAAACTTGTTTTCTGCTTCCCTGGAGACTAGGACGCAGAACAATGGCTTCAAACTACAAGAGAGGAGATTCCATCTGAACATGAGGAAGAACTTCCTGACTGTGAGAGCCGTTCAGCAGTGGAACTCTCTGCCCCAGAGCGTGGTGGAGGCTCCTTCTTTGGAAGCTTTTAAACAGAGGCTGGATGGCCATCTGTCAGGGGTGATTTGAATGCAATATTCCTGCTTCTTGGCAGGGGATTGGACTGGATGGCCCATGAGGTCTCTTCCAACTCTTTGATTCTATGATTCATACATTACTGAAACCACACAGTTGAAACTATAATCAATTTTTACATCATATAAAACCACATACTGACAGCTTTTTCTAGACATACATGATAATATACAGCAATTAAATAGGGAAAAGAAATACACAAAAGCAAAGGAGCATCATTTTATTATACCCTTGTATATAATGGGACTTGAGCATTCATGGATTTTGGTATCCAAGGGAGTCCTGGAACCAAACCTCTTTAAATACCAAGGGCCAACTATAGTTATGGATGTTTTAAGAGGAAATTCTACAGTTTAATGGATGCTAGGATCATCAGTGACAGTTGGGAAGGACTGCTATACATGTATACTCCCAAAAATAGAGGCAGCATAACTTTGTGTCAATTGTATTGAGTGTATAGTGGAATGTCACACTCAGGTGGTTTGTGCATTTCCCAGAGGCAAATTGTCAGCGAGTATGTTGAACAGACTGCTGTGCTTTTGGACTGATCAAGCAGGGCTCTTCTTATGTCCTTATACACATTTAATGTAAATTATGGGTTTTTTCTACAGATTTTACCATAAATTATACATCTTACATGTAATGTGAAATACGCACACTTTTATAAAATATGCATGTTGACATACATTTTGTTACATTTTAGGCCAAAAGGCAGTTGGTAGTTCCACACCAACTGGCTTTTTCCTCAAATTCTAGGCGAATATGTCACCTCGAATGAAATTATCCTTAGGATTTTGCACATCACTGACTTTTAAGGCGAGGTTTTGTGGTCAAAGAAAGTGCGGCAGACTGTGAATTGTAACAAGCTGTTCAACCGCAAAATAGAGTGGCTTAAGAGAGGGCTGGATTCTCCTTTTTTCAGTCTTCAAGCAAAGTTTGGATTGATTTTGTATATCTGGGCTTTGGACTAGATGACCTTACCAACACTTAAATTCTATTATTTCAAGCTTTGTAGGATAAAATGGATGTAGAAAAGTACTTTTGGAGAAAATAAATTTTGGTAAACCTATATGGTTGGAAAATATGTTCCTAATGGCATATTTAAATGCAAGCTTTCATCTTGATTAAGAGCTTGCAGATTAATTAATATATGTGATGGAGTCAATTCATTAGTAGATGGTATAGTTTTTTGAGTATTGAGTTGTTGTTATTATTATATGTTATTATCTTTATCTCTGAGGATGCCTGCCATAGATGTGGGAAAAACATCAAGAGACAATGCTTCTGGAACATGGCCAGAACAACCCAGAAAACTCACAGCAACCCAGTGATTACAGCTATGAAAGCCTTGGACATTGGATTTTTCCATCCTCTAACTGAAATAGCAGTGAAATCAGCATTTCTCAACCTGGGGGTCAGGACACCTGGGGGAGATCACGAGAGGGTGTCAGATGGGTCTCCAAAGACCACCAGAAAACACAGTGTTTTATGTTGTTCATGGGGGTTCTGTGTGGGAAGTTTGGCCCAATTCTATCATTGGTGAGGTTCAAAATTCTCTTTGATTGTAGGTGAACTATAAATCCCAGTAATTACAACTCCTAAATGTCAAACTCCAAACTCCATCTGTGTTCATATTTGGGCATATTCATGCCAAGTTTTGTCTAGATCCTTTATTATTTGAGTCCACAGTGCTCTACCTGGATGTAGGTGAACTACAATTCCAAAACTCAAAGTCAATGCCCACCAAACCCTTCTAGTGGAAGTCCTGTGTGCCCAGTTTTGTTCAATTTCCTCATTGGTGGAATTCAGAATTCTCTTTGATTGTAGGTTAACTATAAATACCAGCAACTACAACTCCCAAATGACAAAATCAATGTTTTTGAGTAAACGAATAGAGCATATATATATATATATATATATATATATATATATATATGTATATGTATATGTATATATATAAATTATGTGTCCTAAGACATCTCTTGGTTTGATGTCGTAGAGGTTGGTACACTTTCACTAAACTCGGAAAGCGAGGAAATTCTACAGAAGTGCCATTCAACTTCTTTGTCATCCATTCCAGGGTGGTGTTAAAATTGAAACATCCAGCCTATTCCTGATTAGAAGTTTTCACTGCACTGAATTCAAACACTAACTGCTACCTCTGCGATGCGCATTGATTTTCTGCCCAGCTGAATCCTCGCAGCAAAAGCAATGTTTTCAGAGTTATCTGACTTGATTCTCAGTGCTTTCATTTCTATGTCACAAGAGAATTAGAGTGAGCCATCTTGATTTACAAATAGGATGTTTTATTTAAAAACAAGTATATACCACCATCAGAAGAAGTAAAGCTTTCTGACCAGAAAACTTAGTCCTAAAAATAAAGCTTTGGGAGTAGGTGCCATGTGCCGGTTCTCCTGAATAGCTTTCAATTGCCCTTGAGAACCATTTTGTGGACTCTGCAGCCCCCTGAGCTTTCCAATGAAGCCTGCAAATATGACATAATGCCAGATACATTGGGAGCTTACTACCCTTCAGGTTCATCTCTGATTAAAGTCCATCTACTCTGCCTTATAGATCTTAATGGGAACTTAGAAAATGGAATCTATCTAGATTGGCATAGACTTGCATTTCTCAACCTGGAGGTCGGGAATCCCGGGGGAGGAGGGGTCATGATGGGGTGTCAGAAGATAAAATACAAAAAACAATATAAAAGCACATCAAACAATATAAAATCACAATTAAACACA